TGGTAGTTGCAATAGTAGAACTTTTATGAACAATAACATAAACTTTGGGATCGACATATACTTTGAGTTACTGTCATGAAATAAATAAGCCCTGGCAGTGTTGTGGATTACATATAGGGCTGCTAACCACGAGGTCCACCCCGTTAAAAATGTCTGGCCTTGGAAACCAGAGTCCTGCTCTGTCAGTGAGGTCTCTGTGACCGATCCAGTGCCAGGGGGATCAGTTTGTTTGGGGTTTGTTGTGTCGTTGTTGTTGTTTGCTTAGTGAATATTTTAAGAATTATAATGATTAGTGTGATCAGCTTTGAAATAAAATATAACATTGTTAAATGACTTTTGAGAGATGATATAGATTGAATATATAGGAATCCATTGTCAAGAGTTTCAGATTCCTAACACTTGAACTATCAATATTGAATTACGTAGCATTCAGAAAATGTGTAAGACCTTTCAATGAATTTTAATTATGATCTCATAAATATTTTCTATCATCAAAAATATGACGATGATGATATAGTTTCATTTATTAAATTCTGTCATACATTTTATACATCCATTTATAGTTCTTTAAACAATGTTATCAAGAAAACATCATTAACGTTTTTATCTAATTATAGAAAGTGAGGTCCAGGTTGATGAGTGTATTTGCTTGTCACCTTTGTTAACTAGAAAGTGACAAAGCAAGAATGTGAGCATGAGTATCTTTGGACTCCATCCTTTACTTTTACATATTTCGACTAAATGTTACTAAATATGCTTTGTTCAATTAGATAGACCTTGATCTTTGAATGAAATTCTATATTTTCTCAGATTAATTTTGTAGGGTTATTTCCTAATATATTCCTAAACCATGGAGAATACTTAAAAATTACTAATAGGATATATTTAATTAACAATATATTAATCTACTTTCAATCATACTGATTGATATCCCACCAAAAATGTGAATTTAATGTTGCTTTCTTTGTAAATATAGAATATTTTGTAATTGGTGTGAGAATAGGCTGATTTATTAGCATAACTGATTCCAAGTATGATTTGTGGTTGAGTGTTAATATTTGTAATGTATGCTTTGCTTGTCTTTCTGTATTACATAATCACATGAGCTATACCTAAAAAATATTTCACCATTTGAAAAAGCATCATCAATACCCTTTTATGTCTATTTCAATAAAAATAAGTTTTACAAATTTAAAAGATAGAAACAATTGTTACCATAACAAACCTGAAAATGTTCTGGAATATTATTCTTTCCATGAATTTGTTGGTATAAGTAGTTGCTACTATAATAATTTATAGTCTGAAATTACCTGCTAGCCTTTTTGTTTTCTTTTAAGGGCTCTCTATCCACTTCTTTAATTCTATAGAAATTTCTGTAACATACAAAACTGGTTAAATACCATTCCCCGGACACATAATGCCATCAGGTCAATTCCAGCTCATAATGTTTCTGAGAGTAGAAATCTTTATAGGAACAGACAGTCTCATTTTACTTCCACTGTGCATCTCGTGGATTTATACTGCCAACCTTATGCTTACCTGGCAGTCAGTACTTAGAGAAGCAGGGCATGTTCTGCTAATGCTGGCCCAGTATGCCTCATGACTGCGGTTGCTTCCATAGAGCCATGCTTCCAGGTTTATAAGTCATATGACACACCTGGGCATCTCAAAACCTAATGCCTTGGCTCAGATACTATGTTGTGTATACAGTGAAAACAGACAGACATCGCCAGTCCTCTAACTGTTTCTCTTACTCAAAAGTCATTCTGCGTTTTATTCTTGGTCTTATGCTGTTGTGGCGCTTTTAGGAAAGAAAAACCAAAAACTAGAGATTTACAGCTTTGAAAATCCCACAGAGGCAATTCTTCTCTGTTCTATTGGGTCAATATCATTCAGAATTGACTTGGTAGCTGTTAGTTTTGGTTTTACACTTCCCCCAAAAAAAGGTGGCCCATCACAAATATGGTCAATTATATAAATATATGACTGATTTTTTTGCTTGACATTTTCAAGATTCTAGAATAAATACATATGTTAATTTTGAGCTCCCTTAAATCAAATATCTTCTGTCTAATTTCAAAGGCATCACAAAAACCCACAAATGCTGTCAAATAAGGATTTATTTTATTACCTTGTCATAGGTCCTCAGCTAAGTTGTTTGGACTCCTGACAGATCTGCTCTGTGTTGTTTCTGGTGCAGAGGGAATACAAAAAGGCACACTCTTTAAAATGAAAGTAAGGCATTTGGGCACTGTATTCAGATTGTGGGTCAGCTGTATAACCTTGCTTGGTTCACAGATCTCTTTGAAAATCTGATACTAGTAGAGGCTCCCTTTTAGCAACATTATCCACATAAAGTTTGCTAACCATTTCACAGGCTTTGAAGCCACTCATCTAGAGATCTCCACAGCACAAGTTATCCCAATGCCATAAAGTTGATTCTAACCCGTGGTGGCCCAAAGTATATCAGAGCAGAACTGCAATCCATTTAATTGCTGGTTTTACAAAAGTAAATTGCCACCATTTCTATTTACCACTGTTTGATTAACATCTAAGTGATTTAATATAATGCACCTTGCAGGCACTCCTGTACACCAACTTAAGAAACCCTGTTCTAAAAATGCCTTCATCATGAACAGCTTTATGGAGGTAGGAGGCCATGGCTTGTGGTCTTCCTCACTGCCCTTGCTCTTCTCGCCTCTGTTTTGTGCAGGACTAATTTGGAAGTTTGCTGAGGCTGTGTCGAACACCCAGAGATAAAGTATCTGCCCTCTTTTAAGGAGTCCAGGCACCAAAGGGCCTGGAAACTTAGATAAGCAATTTTTCTTATCAGTATTACCTCTGGGGTGCAGGTTAGTTTAGTCAGAGTACTTTATCAAATGTAACTCTTTCCCTTGCAGTATTGCAAGGTAAATTGCCCAATATTATTAGTATACACATAATGTCAGTAGAGGCTAAAGGAAATTATGATTACAGATTGGAGCATGGCACTAAAAGCTCGTGGTTCCATTGATCAGAAAAGTCATGAAGCCACTTCTTATACTAAAGAAGTAGCCTGGGGCACATTTTTCCTATAAAGACAAGTCTAAACAAAGACTGGGGAAATCTCAGTAGGATTTTGTTTTGTTTGTGTTGATGTTTTCTTTTGGTTTTTTGTTTGTTTGTTGATTTTTATCTCTCGGGGAATTAAGTACTCACCTTGAAATAATAGATTTGAAATCATTTTACTGATATATCGTTCTGCTTTCAGTGCAATTCCAATTATGCGTCTAACAAGTATTCTAGTAACTTAAATTGAGTCAAACAACACTTCAAATCTTTGTAAGAGCACTATAGATGACAGTATTGTATGGCCAACATATACGAGGGGACTTTGAAAATTTGTGTAATATTTAATTCTGTTTTCCACAGGCAGCTTGAAGTCCCTCGTACAGACAAAATTACTATAAATTGAGTTTTATAAATTAGAATTAGAATCACATTTTTAGTTGTTTTAAATAATTGATTGCTGAAATGAGCCTTCTCTTTATTGTGCTACTGGATAAATGAATGGTGTCAATCAGATTACCATTTTTTTAGTTAAAGTATTACTCAATGAAAAACAATTGTAGAAAGTAAACCAATTTTCAATAGTAACTGTTCCTTTTCTACAAAAAAGAAAGAAATTGTGGAAGAGGGGCATTTTCTCTTAAATAGAATCATCAAGGTGCTGAGAAGTTGTTTCATTATAGAGAGGAGCTACAACTCATATATTTTTAAATGCATCATTACTTATTCCTCTAATAAGGAAAAGATGAAGAATTATCATATGGGGAAAATATTTCCATCTAAACACAATATGGAAATCTCAAAACCATGGAATTTATGTCCATAACCTTTGTAATTTTGCAAATTCCTTGTGAGTGAAATGTAGAATTCAGAGGCATTAACTCTATTAACAGTAACCAAAATCCTCTCCTTAGTTTCTTCCAGATTATTTCATATTTTAAAGTAAGATTGAACCATTGGTTCTCATTCCAGGCATCTAATTTGTGTACTTCTCAACAGTTAGGAAACTGGAGAACTAAGTTTGAACATGAAGCTTATAGCATGACAACAATTTTCTAATTGTTTCTAAATCAAAGAAGGGAATGAGAAGCCACCCAAGAAGTGCTTCTTCATAGAAATGTTGTTCGTTTGTTTTTATACCACACAAAACTGACAAATAAGAAACATCATAAATGAATCATAGGTTCAAGTTATAAAGGATTTCATTGTACTTAGATGTACAATCAAAATTCATGGAAGTAGCAGCCATAAAATCTGGACATACCTGCTAACAAGTTCTCTTTAAAATACTAGGAGCAAATGTCATGGTATTTTCAATTCTCTAATACACATGTAAAAACTGTACAATGAATAAGAAGACTAAAGGATTGATATTTTTGACTTATGTTATTGGGGAGAAATTTTGAATATGCCCTGGACTCCCAGGATAATATATATTAAAAAAACTGTCTTGGAAGTACAGCCAGAATGCCCCTGAGAAGCAAAGATGATGAAACTTCTTTTCCCATGTTTCGGGCACATTATCAAAAGAGAGGACTCCCTGGGAAAAGACATCATATTTAGTAAAGTAGAGGGTCGGTTAAAAAAAAATGTAACAAGATGGATTGACATATTGACTTAAAAAAATGTTGTTAATGGGCTCCAATCTAGCAATTGTGAAGATGGTACAGGATGGGCAGTGTTTCATTCTTTTGTACATAGGGTAGCATGAGTCTGAACTGACTCCATGGAAACTCATGATGGTAGTTTTATCCTCACTAAATATAACTGTTTAGGTCAACCACACAAAGCACACAGCTCTGTTACTAGGGTGAAACATTAGGTCAGTGGTGACCAGAATTTCTAGCTGCATATGTCTGTGTTCTCACCAGATGTACTATGGCTTTTCTTTAAGCCTTTGAAATCCATGGAACAAAATGGACCAGGACTAGAGTACAGAGTGACCTGGAAGCCCCAGGGTGCCTCAATGGAATGGGAAGAAGAAACGGTCACAAACCACACCTTGCGGGTGATGACACCTACTGTCTACGCTCCATATGATGTCCAAGTTCAAGCCATCAATCAACTGGGTGCTGGGCCAGAACCTCAGTCAGTGACTCTCTATTCTGGAGAAGACTGTAAGTGGATGCTTGGAAACTTTAGCCTCCCTTATAACACTTCATCTCAAGGATGACCTATTGTGGTTGCCAGAGATGGACTAGCTGTGGCAGCTAAAAAAGAAACATAACACATGCTTCTTATGCTAGGGTTGGCTGAGCATATTTGTTTGGTATCCAGTGATACTGAAGTTATTTGAGAGTTTTCATTTTATACATTTGTCTGATGGACACAGGTATTTCTTTTCTTTTCTTTTTTATGAAATCATTTTATTGGGGTCTCATACAACTCAGCATAATCCACAAATACATCCCTTGTGTCAAGCACATTTGTACATTTGTTTCCCTCATAATTATCAAAATATTTGCTTTCTACTTGAGCCCTTGATCCTCATTTTCCCCTCCCTCCCCACTCCCCCATTCCCCACGAACCCTTGGCAATTTATAAATTATTATTATTTTATCATATCTTATACTGTCTGACGTCTCCCCTCACCCACTTCTCTGCCATCAGTCCCCCATGGAGGAGGCCATATGTAGATCCCTGTAATATGTTCTCCCTTTCACCCCCACCTTCCCTCCACCCTCCCAGCATCACCATTCTCACCACTGGTCCTGAGGGGTTCATCTGTCCTGTGTTTTCAGTTCCTATATGTACCAGTGTACATTCTCCAGTCCAGCCGGATTTGTAAGGTAGAATTGGGATCATGATAGTGGGGTGGGGCTTGGGGGTTGGGGAGGAAGCACCAAAGAATGAGAGGAAAGTTGTATGTTTCATTGTTGCTACTGCACCCTGACTGGCTCGTCTCCTCCCCGCAGCCCTTCTGCAATGGGATGTCCAATTTCCCACAGATAGGCTTTGGGTCCCCACTCTACACTCCCCATAATTCACCATGATATGATTTTTTGTTCTTTGATGCCTGATACCTGATCCATTTGACACCTTATGATCACATGTTTCTTCCATGTGGGCTTTATTGTTTCTTAGCTAGATGGCTGCTTTATTGTTTATTGTTTCTCAGTTACATGGCAGCTTGTTTATCTTTAAGCCTTTAAGACCCCAGATGTTATATCTTTTGATAGCCAGGCACCATCAGCTTTCTTCACCACATTTGCTTATACACTCACTTTGTATTCAGCAATAATGTCAGGAAGGTGAGTATCTCACAGTGCTGGATTATTAGAACAAAAGGTTCTTGTGTTGAGGGAGTACTTGAGTAGGGGCCCAATTCCTATCTGGTTCCCTAATACTAAACCTATAAATATATGTACATAGATCTATTTCTCCCTCATCATATATACATATATTTACATATGTATATGCCTGCATTTAGATCTCTATAAATGCCCTTTGCCTCCTAATTCCCTCCTCTATTTCTGTTCACCCTCCTCCTGTCCCACTATCCTGTTCAACCTTCATTTGGGTTTCAGGAATTCCTCTTGGTTACACTGTCCTAGATTCAGCCCTGCCAGACCTCCACCCTCCTAGCCATCGATTTTTGGTCACTTGTTGTTCCCTTGTCCCTGGGCTTGTTAACGCCCACTTTGGACACAGGTATTTCTATGTTGAAAAGAAAAGGTCTGGAATCATCACAGAAATATGAGTTGCTATTAAGGATAAGCAGCAAAACTATAACGAGATCTTCCATTATGTCTACAATTGCTTGTTAGGAACTCCTAACCACCGCCAGCTGTTGCCCTGCCCTGGACCTCAATTAACATCCTTGAAATCTTCTCAACACCAATGAGATGCAGATCCAGATTTGTGTGCAGAATTTCACACATAGCTACACACATGTAAACATACACACAGAGCCTTGAGGTACAGATTGGTGTTATTATTAAATACCTCTTCCAAAGACAACTGCTATGAATGAAAAAGGATTATTGTGAAAATGAGGGATGCTGAATTCCATGTCTTTGTACAGCCAAGGTCAGTCTCGGTTCTTCCAGTACACAGAGTATTATGTTCTTGCATAATGCTCAAGAATAATACATGACTAAACTTCATATTGACTAATTATCCGAATTTGTCTACCCCAAGTAAAAAGACATGGACACACCAACTATAAACTCAGGTATTATTCAATGCTCTTATTTTTAAGAAGCCCTGGTGGTCTTAGTATTCAAGTGTTGGGCTCCTGGCTGCACAGTCAGTGGTACAAACTCAACAGCTCCAGATGCTCCATAGGAGAAAGATGAAGCTTTCTGCTCTCCTAAACATTTAGAGCTTTGGATGCCCTCTATACGGTTGTTATGAATTGGAATTGACTCAATGACAGTCGGGTTTGTTTTCTTTTGTTGTTTTGGCTCTGTGTTCTGTTTACTTCCTTGTAGTAAGCTTCCCAATAGAATGAGGGTGATAATACAACCTTGTAGGATTGTTCTAAGGAGAGACGTGCTAATCCAGTAAGTCTCTTTAGCAGTGACAGAAACATAGTATATGTATAATTAATATTATCGTTGTTAGGTGTCCTGGTAACATAGTAGAGTATGCATGGGGCTGCTAACTACAAAGTCAGCAGTTTGAAACCACCACCTGGCTCCTTGGGATAAAGATGAAGCATTCTACTTTAAATGTTAGAGTCTCAGAAACCCCCAGAGGCAGTTACTATGAATCAAAATTGACCATAGTGATTGCAGTGTGTTTGAGCTTTTCGGTGTTAGGCTGGGTTTTCTAGAGAAACAAAAATAGTTATACTGATATCTGTATAAGAAAGGACTGTATCATGAAGGGAGCCCATCCCAGTCCAACTCAGGGAGCCCACTTCAGACTCACCCAACTGCTGCTGGATGAAGTGAGAAGCTGGAAGATCACAGGCTGGTGGTTGCAGGGTCATTTGGATCCAAGAGCCACAAGAGCATGTCAGGGCACTGTCATTTTCCAGTGACAGCAGACCACATTGGCCCCCCTAGAGAGGCAGACACATAACCCAAGCAAGCAGGAAGGTGAAGAAGCTGGAAGAATGAGATGTTCTCCATAGCAATCTTATAAAAAATCTAAACCCCCAAGGAGGCATATGGGTTGGACTCAGCCCCTACATGCACACAGGTACCAACAAGTTGAATAAGCTCTAGCCAGCACATTATGTGTTATTAATATTTGACTTTCCACAAAATTATATTTATAATGCTTGTCTTATTTGCCTTTTT